TTTATCAAATTGATCGCCTGGTGTAAAAAGTGAACCAAACATGACAATAAAAAATGTTGATATAAAAAACTGTGAGAACTTTCCATGGTGGTGATGATGAAGAATGATAAACTATCAAAGTGTAAGACTAGGCAAATGACAAATCTAATTGTAGAATGTGAGTTTTAAATGTGCTCATTGATAAAGTGAAAAAAGGTGATATTAGTGAGCATAAAGCACACACAGTATCTTGTGCAATTTGTGAGACTAGTAAATGTTAACTGCACCGTGAGTGATAAAATCAATATGTCACGAAAGGACTACTGTGCACAAGGACCTCTCTTGACTCGTAGACTCGCCAAAGAGTTTTTGAAAATCAGAACTTACGTAAAGAGACAAAAACTGGTAAAAAGAAAAGTGGAGTAAACACAAGTGGTGTGCACTTTCTGGTACTGCAGGTAGAATACTAAACCAATATATACTAAATGATAAGACTCAGATCTTTGGCAAAATGAGAGAGTTCAGACTCACGATCTTTGATTGTAATAATTGTAAATGAAATTAAGATAGAGGCACATTCTTAAAATTAGGTCATGGTCATAAAAATGGAGAAGAGCAGAGTAAATCAGATAACAAATTGTTTGTTGGTTTGTTTGAATAAAGAGAAACACATCGACACAATAATGGTCTTTTAGTTCTGGGAAACAGTAAGACAGAAAGAAACAAGAAAAGGAAAGAAAAGAAGTAGGACTTACCAGTGGCCCCCTCCATCTAACAGAACAGATAGAAAAGAAAAGCAAATTAAGTCAGAATAACCAATAACAAAAGAGACTAGCCAAGTAAGACAGACAGACGTTAAAAAAAAAAATGAAAGGTGATTCCAAACCCAAAGAAGAAGACAAACTAAATAAGTCTTGAAGAGCTACTGGTGCTACTGAGTTGAGGAAAGTAACGGAATAAAGTTGGCCACATTTAACTAGGAATTGGTTGGGATAAGAATAACACCGATAAAAGTCTGTAAGTATAATCATTCTTAACAGAGTTTCTTCAATCTATCCTAAAAACTTAATTGAAATAAATCCAGTCACTAACTTGGTCCCTTAAAAAGGGACAAAAGAACAACAAAAATCCCAAACAAATAAAACTAACAAATTTGGGAAAAAACTTAAATAAGCACACAACACCAGCACATCCATCCACTTTACACACCCTTGAGACATATCAATCAGACAAACGGCCAAAATATGTAAGCTCTGGAGCAGCACAAGTTTGTCACAAGAACACACAAAATGAACAAACATAGCTTGAAATCAACACCTATATTTAAAAACTCAAACTGGCAGATAACCAACACGCACTTGCAATGCTAAAAGATTGTGTCTTCTATCATCACAAACCGTCTCATCAACATCAAATTTTCAGCATTTTTAAACAATTGTTCCACATCATCAGTCAAGGGATATTACATATTAGTAAGACTTGGAGGTAGCTTTCTCCCTCTAGACACTTTCTCTCGTTTTTTACCTCCATGTCAACATGTAGCTGATATGATTTGTTTTCTTTGAAAATGAAATAAAGAATTAAAGAGCATTTCAGTAAAACTTGACAAATATGATAAGTACAGCATCATAAAAGCCAAAAACAAACCCGGAGTGTAATGGACAACCGATCTGTTCCAAACCAAAGAGACACTGTGTTCCTATAAATAAGTATCTGTAGAAAGGATAGAAAGTCCCCTGTGGAACTGTTCAAATATGAGAAATCAAAAATTGAAGTAAAAATTTGACATGTTCATCTATCAAAGGTATACGTTCAATGTAATATCAATGTTGACTTTGAACACCTTCACAGCTATCATCTGATACTCAAGGAGACCATATGTTTGCCAGGAGACAGAGTCAGTCAAACTGGAGTTTACACAAATTCACACAATAATAGCAACATTTCTCCAGGACCAAACTAGAATAAAACAATACGGTCAAGAAATTATGTGAGCAAGCAACACCATAATACAAAGCGACCATTCATCCTGCGAGACAAAAACAAAAGACGGGACTTCCAACTTTTCAGCATAGAATTGGCACAGTGGACAGCAAAGGGGTTTTAAAGAGAAAGGTATTGTATCATTTAAAAAAGATGTGTGCAGCCCTGGTACTACTGCTTACAAAAAGTGCTTAAATGTTAAAAGAAGTTTATTCATAGGTTTTTAGAAAAAAGTACACAGACCTGATAAATTTTGATGTCACTGCCACATTCGAAATAAAAAAGCAAGGTTTTATGGGCTGCAAAAAAGCAAATACAGTGCACCTTATTTTACAAACACTTTTCTCTCAACCGATCTTCAATGAAAACCGAGTTAGACAACAGACTTTCACTTACTCGCATCCTCAGTCTGACAACTCACAAGAAAAGGAGTTGAAAAGAAAAAAGAAGTAAATAGAAATTGATCCTTCTTTAAAACAATTTTTAAAATGTCATTATGATACTTGAGCTCATTGTAGAAATTTGATGGTCAGACAGTTTGAAAATTTGCAAAGAGTGCAGAAAGTTAATATCCTGTCAGCTATTTACATAATACAGCAAAGAAAACGTCCATAATAAACGTCAATATGGATTCTGTAAATATATGTGTACAGATAGTATAAATACAGACAATAAAGCATTTGAGTGTCGCAGTAATTGTGAACATTATAAAAGCACGAGAAGTTCCAATATATGCAATCCCCACTACCTCCCCACCCCCACCCCAAAGAAAACCACAACTTAAGCAAATGAAATAAAAAAGATGCTGAGACAGTTTTCATCCAATCATAAGTTCCTGACTAGGGTCATAGAGACATTAAGGGCTACAAACTTTAAAATTAGCCCCAAGAATAACAAACACAATTATATTCTCACAAAATAAATGTTGAAAAAGAGTTCTAAAAATAAGTATATACTGTTAAGCTTCTGATAGTATAACTGCGTAAGTTCACCATATCTTCACCTCTTACACAAAATACTGCGAAAAGCAACCCTGTACTCTAATATGCCAATGGTCTATCAGAGGTCATACATAAAAGGTATGATTAAAGAAATGTTTTAACTCTTTCAGGACCATTTTATATGAAGTAATATATAGAAATAACCAGTCACAGGGCTGATCTATCCACAATATGTCCTGAAAGGGTTAATCATCTAATTTAAATTAACTTTCAAAAACAAGATATGAAAAGCATGGTACTAGAAAAAGTTATATGATCTGTTCACACTCTTTGGTCAAACCAAAATACTGAAACCACACAGTCCCCACGAAAGAACAAAGCTTATTACAAAATTAGTTGGCAGATTTTGGATGTACCCATACAACTGCAAGACGACTTTTTAGACGGCTTTTGAGTTACAGAGTGGGACACGACACAGTTTACCGCGCCATACTAAGAACACCGTCTACACCATACTGACATGCGCAATTGGCTAAGTAGATAGTGCGTGCTACACAATGCCTAGAGGAAAAGGAATATCTGCTGCCGAAGAAGGCTTCTGGAATCGAGAACAAGGAAAGTTGCGGGAGTTCAGCTGCTATTCGAGTAAAAGACAACAGCCTACCAAAGAATGGTCACCCAACCCTCAACTTGCTCCTTCAAAGAGTTGGAAATGAGATAATTCAGATTGCATTGATCATAAGTACAGTTCACCTGAGCTAAGTCTAAAAGTTCCTGTCAATTTTCAAAGTGTGAAAGAGACCCAGTCAAGTGATCAAACCTACATTCATCACTGTCCAGAGAAAAATAAGTAAGTATGCTTGACCATATTTGACAGGGTGAATAAAATCATTTGAGTTATTCATTTTTCTTGCAACTGCGCGGACATTTGGAAAGTTCATACAACTAAAGAGACCCAAAATACATGCCTAATGACATCCAAATAATGCTGTGTTTATTCTATATCCAGTGTTAGTTTTTAGTTAGAGTTTTACAGAATGTAGTCTATTTAAATGATTATGTGTGAATGTCAAAGACATCCCTGAGAAGGTTTGTAAATAAAATCCAAATGATCAGAGAGTATACATCATAAAAGAAATGGAAAAAGATAGTTTAGGTTGACGGGAAAAGAACTGAAGTAGGTTTAGTTCAAAATACAAGAAATTTAGACACCTAAAGAGATTCTGATTTCAGGAGCATGACAATACCATTATAAATCTAGACATGAGAAAACAAAGACAGCCAACCTTTCAACAGCAAGGGAAACAACCTATGAACATACATAGATTAAATGGAAAATGTCAAAAATCCTGAAATACATTATTCAATGTGAGATAAAGGAAGTCAACTTGACAAAACAGTCAGGCTGGTTCACTTTACATTTCTTTCAGACATATCGGAGCCATCAGACCAGGAGACTCCACACTCACAAAATTTTACCCAATTCCCAATTCTAGAAACTCATTCTTTTCTAGCCCCATCAAAAGAAATCCTTCCCTGCCTTTACATCCCCAAGAGCGAGACAAAACCCAATATAATCAAGATACCCAAGAGGAACAAACAGGCAAGGATTGTCCCAGAGCAGTCAACAACATCACTAAATTAAGTAAAGATGGCTGGTGGAGATACAGCCAAGTGGTGCCTGAACACTTAGTACAGACACGGGCAAACTAAGGTCCACAGGCCAGTTCCAGTGACCAGGTAGTTTCAGTCCCACCTGCAAGTGGCCTCAATAATTAATAATGAATGTGGCCCATGATTAGTTGAACCAATAGATTTATTATATTATCTCATGAAACGCCCTTGAGTGACGCATGCTACAATGTCAGTTTTAGGCTCACTTTAGATCTAATATTTCAAATGATTTCCCCCAATTATCTCCTGCATTGGCCAGCAGATATTGTAAGATTTTTTATTGATAAATAGTAGGGTATTTTAAAAATGTATGTAAAAAGAAAAAAAGTTAGAGATAACTTTATAAAGTTAAAAGTAATATGAAGAGAAGAAATGTATCATAATCTGAGCCAAATATTAAGCAAGTAATTACATTCCTTATAATTTTCTTTTAAAGTATGAAAATGACCAATATGGGGTGACCACCGGAATTCCGTCCTGACCAGGGCTCAGTGAAGTAGATAACAGGGTTAAAGACATGCTGTGATGATGGTCAGAAGGTGAAGAACTTTGGCATAAATCAGTGAAGAAATCCTTTGCCTTGCATGGTAAAGATGTTCTATGAAATGAAACAGAAATATCTTTTCCTTTTTTTCAAAACTCATACCAGAATAATAGTATGGCACCAGTAAAATGTATGCATACAATTAAAATACCCCAAAAATACAAACATAATTCATGCACAAAAAAGTACTTCCAACATCAACCACTCATTCAATAAGGGGTTCAACCAACACTAAATACTTAGACAAATTCGTTTTTTCTCAAATAAGATTAAAACAGAAATAATAATAGTAATATGCTGATAGCGATTTGATCTTTAGCTGGCTCCCTCTTTGTTCATATCTCTTTCTAAAAGTCCTTCATACAAACAAACAAAAAGACAAACACACACATACACAAACGTGCACACAAACTTGTCCCTACAGCTCCACGCCTAGTCACAGTGACCACTTGGCCCGCTGTGCGTGAATGTCGCTGCGGAGGTTCTGAGCAAAACAAATGCCGAGGATCTGCAGCAGGGCCACGCCCACAGCAACCCCGGCCACTGGTATCAGGTTGATCTCGAGCCACTTCTCTCCAGACAAGATGCAACCCACCGTGTAGATCTTGGTGCCTCTATCAAAATCCTGCCAAGAAACAACAAGAGCCATTCACCCTTCTCCTCACCTAAGGTACATGACTTAATACTCTTCAAGCTTTAGCTTTTTTTGTTTTGCTTTTTATTATGTTGTCTTTTCGGTTTTTGTTGCTGCTGGGGTTCTTTGGAGGGGGAGGTGGTGTTTCCTTTGCCCAGTCCTATAAAAATGATGCCATCTGATTAGCATAACATTGTGCACCTGATATGTTTGCAATACTCAACACAAGGTTACGATATGGTAAGTTTTGTAAATGGTAGATTCAAGCTGTTGTTTATGTAACACTAACTCTTTAGTTTAAAGTCCCTGTACTTTCACAGGCTTTGCCCATGTTAATTTGTCTTAATCACAGCGATAGAAGCTGTGGGATAGAATTGAGCATTAACAACTGAAAAACACCAGGAATTGTACAGGAAGATATAGTAGTAGGTTCCCTTAGTTGGTCCAGAAATGGTTTGTAGCATTAAAAACTAGTACCTGGGAATGAGCAAACCTGGCATACACAATCTATTGATCAACACAGGCTGCCTTGTTTAGGCCAGAATAAGTTCATTCTCTTCAAGGTTTCAAGTCACAATAAAGCCTGAGGCCTTTATAATTGTCCACTTGGATCGATGCCGTCTTCACGTAAATGGCTATCATTCAAATTGACCAGGAATAAAGTCTCTTCCAATATTATTACAAGGCTTCACATTGTTAACACAAAAGGAGTTAATGCCTTAATTAATTATTTATTGAGATTGGTTTTTTTAAAGAGATGAAGAAAATGTTTACTAAACAATATCCTCACACCTAGTAGCCACTATTCTATGGTACAGTTTGATAAAAGTTTAGAAACTTTATCAAAACCTGATGGCAAGCAAAACAATTAGCAATACAAGAAACTCAGTTCATAAGGAAATAGGAATTTGACGAGAAGACAAAAGCTGCCTCCCTTTCCCACTAAAAGAGGTAACACGTTTACAATGTCCAGGAGTACTCACATGTTCCACTTTCATCATGTCAAATCCACAATGACGATTTATGAGCTCTTGCTGAAAACAGAAAAAGAGAAAGTACATCAAATCGAAACTGTACAAGTTAAAATAATTACAATATTAATGAGGAGAGACAAAAAATTATAACATTGATGTCAGGCACAGATGGGCCCTTTCCAAAGAAGCCTTTCTTTGCAGACGAGGATAAAAACCATTTAATTAAACTATCAAAGACTAAATCAACTCAAAGTTCATGTTGATGATCCATAAATTTCTATTTGTTGAAAGTTCACACCCTTTTCTGAGAAGATACATTTCGCCCTGCTGTACATCAAAGTAAAATATAAGGTGTCAGAAAATTCTGGAGCTGGCCCACTAGCGCCCAACATCATTGAATACCTAAACAAAGGATCGCAACCCAAAGGTGTTTCTAAAGGCTTTTCATAAGAGTCAATTTCTTCGCATATAACATATAAAACTGACACCTGCAGACTTTTGTTAATGCCTTCTTTTCACATTATTACTGAAAGAGGGGAGATAGACTGTGGTGGAATTTCAAATCAAGTCAGAAAGCAAAGAAAAACAGAAAATCCAAGAAGAAACCCTCAGGTTCTACAAGTTTAGGAACTCCTACCCCCAATAAAAAAAAATTCAGTGACTGATGTAAAAATGGTGGCAATATAGAGCTAAAAAAAAAGCAAAGAGTTAAGATATAGGCAAAAAAGACAGAAACAGTTTATATGAAGCAGCAACCAATGAGCAAAGCTTAGTAAATAAGGAAACAGTAGTAATAATAATCAAATTTTGTCCATCAATATCTGACGATAACCCATGCATCTGCACAGGAGAATACTTCTTGAGCGAAATAGGAGAAATAAAGGTTATGATAACTTGTTGTTTCTGCTTAGGAAACAGTATACATAACATACAAACTTCTATGGGCAAAGGACCATAATGTATGACGAAATAGAACACATAATTTAGAAACCCCTTTGTGCAAAGTTATCTTTGACAGAAATGTCCATTGAGATGGATAAACATAGCTTTCCAATCTTGTAAACGAACATCATTTATGCTTTTTTAAACTCCTTAAATACTAACAGCTGCACAGATCTCAAATTACTGCAAATCATGGTCATAACGAAAGACTGCCTGACACAACGATCGTTTTTAGCCTCTGTAACTTTGCTTTTTCATGACAAAATTAACAAAATTTCAATAAATACAATATCATAGGTTCCTGTTTGACAATCTCATTTTGGTGGAATGTGAACCACAAAAAGCCCACTTTTGTCTCTGAAATTATGCAAATTCAAGGGGATTCGCACCAAAATTACAAAATGAAATGCGAGTCACAATGATTGTTGACACCACTTACATCCCTTGCCCGAAACATGTTGTAACTTTGGCAAAACAAAAATAACATAACACATCAGCTTATTTAATCACTTGTTCTGAACTCTTCCTATTTAGGTTCTTTAATTCCATGGTTATTCCCCTTACTCCAAATCCTCATTTTGATGACCTTTCAGAACAATATCTGCTCATGGAACAAGTAGTCTTGGCTATTTGAATCACCTTTCTGCCATCTAATTAATCTAATTATACATTAAATACTGATGTTTTGGGGGCTTTTTTTTCACTCTCGAAAGCTCACGTGGAGAGCCAGTCTGTGCTCCAGGTCCTAAAGTCCTTCAAACGAACACCAAACTTGACAGTCAAAGGAGAAAAAAAACATTAAAAATTTACAGCATTTTCATAATCCATGAAATAGAGTCCCCTCTCTTTTTCTAGTGAGTGTACAAAGGTGTGTCTGAACTTACAGCAGAGTTTGGCTTGCAACATGAAAAGGGCACACCACAAGCTTCCACTCCAGGAGATGAGCAATTGAAGTAAATGTTGAGCTCCCAGTCTTTGTAACTTTGTACTCCGCAACAGCTTAGCTGGAAAAATAACATTAGTTTTCATTAGTCACTGAACAAAGGAAATTTTTATGAAAAGAATATTAGTTACCAAATTTGCATCTGTGAAGAAATAATGAGTACCAAATATGCTGCAAATCAAAATAATTTACCATAAACTTGTACAGATATGGAATTTTTCTCTTGAGTATAATATTGGCTAAATATTTAACTTATAATTCATTATCAATGTACCAACATGTTGTGAGCAAAAGAATGAACTAAAAACTCACACCAGTAGCTGACTTTAAGCATGTAAAATTAACACATTTCATCAACATCAGAATAACTGTTATACTGTCATGACTCTACCCAAACAGGACTTAAAACGACCACGTCAAAACAAGAAAAGTACAGGACGACACCTGAACATACAAAGAGTTGAAATCAATATAGAGCATTCTTAGAAATCACATTTACCAAAAAAGAGCCACCCCAATTCATTTTAGAGAGGATATTACGTAACCCAAAATAAAGATTGCCAAAGATATAATCCTCGTAAAAAATATAAATGATTTGATTTCCTATTTATTAATTGGCACTACACCGTAGTAAGTCGAAGAAAATGAGTGTACTGTCTTTTTTTTTAACATATCCAGTTTTATTGTATGAGTAAAAAGAAGCAAGTCGATACAAAAACAGTCATTTGCAGATGGGGAAAAGCAAAATGGATAGGCAGAAATAAGAGGGAGAATAAAGAAGTACAGTCTACCAGTAGCACCCTCCAGCCACCTACTTACCAAACCAGCTTCCAACCTGTTTAACATTAAGTCCAAGACATAACTATCATAAGTTTAGTTTAGAAAGAGTTTTGTGGCGCTCGCAACTGCATAAGGTCATTTGAGCGCGCACATAACTATCAATCATACTTTCACAATTCAATCTGAAAAATACAGACAAATTGTCCAAGACAGCCATCCCTGGTTGAGGACAAAAGTGGCTGTCTAAGACAGGTGGAGGTCTCGGACAGTGTCACTATAATGTAGAAAAATCACATGAAGGGGGAGTGGGAAGTAGTTGCTTGTACTGGTGATTGTCTTGGACAACTGGCTGTGACTCGTGACAGCAGATTTGACTGCCTGCAAACCAACTGAGAGTCTTACCCAGTCCTGCTGCACCCAGTCCACTAGGTTCTTTAGATCCAAGTCATCACGGTATTTGATGATCATGTTCTTCACTTGAGACTGGATCTGATCTCGGACCTGGATTAGATTCATCAAAAAAGAATTTATCAGCTTGTTCCAAAAAAATAAAATAAATGTGCCAAATTATATGAAGTTGTTTAAGAAGTGGCATGGTTCAAAAAACAACTGAGCGAAAATCAAGCAATAGCTTTTGGTGCACTAAAAAGAGATAATATGGAAGACATAAATTTGAAAAAAAAAAAATTATATTTTTATAATGTCATATCATACTTATATACTTATATATTTTAATGCATTAAAAAATCACAAAATAACAACTCACAAGAAAGAGGGGGCTTTTATCTCAGTGGAAAGCAAACAGGGTGACAGCAATTGATTTACTTCCCCTTCACAGACAGACCTATTTTTGTGAAATGATAATGCTGTGTAAAACTTTCCCAAAGCCTGAATATAATTTATACGCTGTCGTAAAAACAAAAAGAAAATTCTACCCACAAAAATAACACTGTACCATAAGTTTGGAATTCAGGGAAGCACTCAAACTTACTACACCCTATGAATAATTAATGGTCTGCAATAAAAGTTTGCAACGTCTCATCACAGCACTTCCTAAACAGCACTTTCTAACATCTGTGCAATGAAAAGTAACACTTACCCAGTCCTTGTACACAAATCCCAGGATACCTATAAGCAGCTCCATGAGGAAGATGATGCCCAGTGATATCATGAACTGAAATATTTCAGATTTAAAAAACCCACTGCATTAGACAACAAAATAGCAGAATAAGAGAACGGAAGAGGAATTTAAAAGCTTCCCGTACAAGTGGATGACACGAGATCTTTTGAAAGGAAGGATTTTCCTTGTTGTTGCTTTAAATCCAGTAGCCATTGAGCATGCCCCCTTGGCCCAGTGCCATGTTTAAAAAGGAGGACGTCTTTGAGAATTGTTTGCTGCAGTATAGGGTATTGTCTGTGGTTGGGACAGGAAAAAGTAGTTGCCATCTGAGATACTGTAGTATGGGAAGGTAGAAGAGCAGATGTTGGACTGTTATGTAGACATAGTCACAAAGCAAACACATACGCGAGTGGTTTTTCTGGTAGATTCTATTAAGCCAGTACTTTAGAGTGTGTGTGCTGTGTTAGGAGGAGGAATATTATTGTTGTTTGCTCCCTTCTGTTGAGGGCTATAATGTTGAGAATCTCCCTTCTCTTAAGTCATATTTCAACATGGGTCGCTAACAGTTTGTCTGTCTGTTCAAGGCAGCCATATCAACCTGGAAATTCATTTACAACATTTCACAACACTGTTGCTATTTGTGCTGGCATCATTTTGAGTAAGATATCTCTAATAAGAATATCTTAGTTCTCATGTCACCGCTCTATGTTCACCTTTTCAGACACCATATTTTAAAATCTCTGGTTAGACTTCTACCTGTTATAGTGTAATAAAGTGTGAAATGTCTCAATGAACCTGGTCCCCACATACGCATTATCATGAAAAAGCAAAATGTCAGTCAGCGTCAGGACAGGGATTGGAAATCTCTCTTTTAACATGAACGTTTCAGATTTACAAGTCCAGTGTGCAATCAATACTTCGAATTCAGTATCAGTTCGTTTACATAAAGACCGTGATAATTTCATTCACTTGTCGTTATAGTTAGTACCTCCAGTGAATGTTTACCCAAGTTGACCAATGGGTAGGCTTAACAACAAATTTTCAACTGATGGTAAGGGAAGCGTGATCCATCATAACCTAAAAGCCCCGCCCACAACTTATGCACAAGTGACTGGTCACTGTTTTGTTTAACTAATCTGTAACAAAGTGACAATGGACGTTGACGTGAAGTTGCGACAGAAGCGTCGCTCGTTCTGCGGGTGATGACAACCCGTGTGTTTGTTTTACGATGGCATTCGGTCTTCATCGTCTTACTTACAAAATATTTCGTTTATTTTACCCTTGCACAAAATCAGCAACAAATAGAAAGCTTACCAAAAAACAAACTAACAAAACACAAAAACCCATCTTACACCACCCACATCCCTTTTTCAAAAGAAAACAAAAACTCTTTTGAATTAGCCTTATGGCAGTCTTAAGTCTGAGATCAGCCCTAGTTCTGACCTCAGAAGAGAATTATTTGCTTTCTTCACCAGTCCTTCCTATGAAGGCCACCTGCGTTATATACAGCCACTTTTCTCCTTGACAAAAGGTGGCCGTTTTACACAGGTTTGACTGTATTTGTAGTTACGAAGTGCTAGGAAAAAGATGTAGTCACAGATAGAAAGAAAATGAAGAGAAAAGAGAAAAGTGAAAATATTATTTAGAACGAGACCATGCACTTGGGGCATTCTTAAACCAAAATATTCTAAAGAGGACTTGATTTAAAAGTTCAAACTCACTACCCGCTTAAAAGAATACTTACAAATAGGAGGAGACAGGTGTTCTCCCTTAAGGCACCGATGCATCCAGTAAAGCTCATACTAAACATGGACATGCCTACAACTATAAATATTAGCGCAGGGTCCAAAGTGATGTTGGTCAGTTGAGTGACATTGGCGAACACATCCTTTTCGGCCCATGCCCACATACCAATAGTCAACAGCATCAAGCCTACCACCTGGAAAGAAGAAAATATAAATTGTTCTGTCATTTGCAATAAACTGTTTTATGTTTTACAAAAAACAAAAACGGCAGAGTCCTCGTAAACCTAAATCCGCGGCACTGTCAGATTTTCTTCCATTTAGACAGGTTTTCATTCAAGAGAGAGATGCACAAATAGCAATGATAGTCAACGGGGTAGAGTTGGGAATGCCATGTTGGCAGTAAATTTCACCTTTTAAAAGTTTTTTTTTCTCTTCTACCTCTTTCAGTTTATTGCCATTCAACCTGTATACTGCACGCACATTCTTGTGCTTTCTTGACACGGTCAGCTTCCTTAATCTACAGAACAGTCACACAGAACAAAAGAAGGAGGAGATAGAGAAGATATTAACAAGCCCAAAGCCGGTGACATCGTGAAAGACAAAAATATAGGCAAACAATACAATGGCGATGCCTTTCTCTGGCTCACTATTAGCACACGTATGCTCTTGTGTCTCATTCTTTTGTTGTTCTATCTTTAAGCAAGTAGTAAGACTTGATGATTAGTGCTATTTAGGGGTTGTTAGTGAAGATTTAGATGACAAAACCCTCAAAATTCTTTTTGATATATATATCGCTAATCCCTGTTCAACAGCAAGCTCCATGCGCTTCACAATCTATACTATTACTCCAGCAGACCTGAGAGCATTCTGAAACAAACTCAACTTCCTGGGAAACATACAGTGCAAGAAGCCATTTATAGGCGCTAAAACACTTACATACTGATAAGATCTTTCGCTGTCTATGGCCGGGTACCCATTTCCACCTGGGTGAAATGAGGAAAATTCGTGTAAAGTGCCTTTCCCAAGGACACAACGTCGGGCCCACAGTTCAAACCTCCGACCCGCAACCTAACGATTACGAGTCCGGTAGCCTAACCACTAGGCCAACGACGCCACAATATTATATTCTTACTGTTTACTGCTTTCTGATTAATTGTATACTGTAATTATTTTACACCTTTCAGAGAAGCCTGTACTGCACACATTGCTCAATTGCAGATTTTCTACCTTTTGTAATCTTTCACAGAAAATGCAGCAAACCAAACACAGCCTTTGCAAAGCTTGCAGACATGGATAAACTACTTCGCTTGAAAATCTTAACTTGTATCCACTATCCTTTCAGCAGAATCACCCCCCCCCCCCAAGTTAACAATACCCCAATCTAAAGGTTATCTCATAAAGTATTGAATTGTGTGATTGTACATTTTATCCAGGACCTATAGAAAGATTTACAAATAGGTGCACATATAAATTCTTCTTAAACCAATGCCATTTAATTCATTTCGCTTTGCCTACATAAATACACGCAGGGCCCATACCCTTGCCACAGCTTGTCTACATGAATAGACACAGCTGGTATTATTATAAAACCAAACTCTTCCATTTCCGAATTGAAAGTGGCTATTCTCACCCGCCCGGAAGTTCTCGCAAGATTAACTCCTCCCCTCTTCTCTCTCTCTCTGTCTCTTTCTGAATACTGTCTATCGGTGTGGACGATCAAATTGACCAAAACAAAGTTAAAAAATGATGTTAAAACACAAAAGTAAATTAATTTGGTTGTCTACAAAGATGCTACGGCTTTTTAACTTTTCGAATCGAGCCGAACTACGCGGGTCGCCATTTTGTTTTGCCTGGAAATTCTCGCACTACTCCTCTCTCTCTTTCTCTCTCTCTCTCCACTGCCCACATACAAAATTGTACGCTTTTAGTAGGCTACAGTTGTAATGGAACGTTTGTTCATGGCACAGAATTCTACAATTTTTCTGTTATCACAGTGTAGAATTCTGTGGTTTAGGGTGAATGCAAAATTTGGTGAACGCGCACCTGGTGAGAATAGCCACAAGACTCGCCTGCACTATTCTCACTCCGGGTGAGAATAGAGGTGGCCTTCCGAATTTCCCCAAAAACGTCAAATGTTCCCTTCAATTTTAAAAGGAATTGCCTTTTTTCTTGCCAAAAAATTAACTTTCTTCTTGCTAAAAAATTAAGTATTTTTATTTATTAGGACAAATTACGACAAAGTAAGTTACACATGAAGAGAAGAAAAAAAACAACCACAACACGGCTGTGCAATGGCCATTTTTTTTGCAACTAATAATGCATTAAAACTAGGTTTTTTATTTTGTTTTGGGAATAAGCGATGACAAATTTGAAAGTACACAAACTTCTAGATAGACAAGGCGATCCATTTGACTTAAGTGCCTTGAAAACCTTGAAGACGGGCTAGATCTTGATCATAGATTGTTCCTTACAAAGTTGCTCTACGGATGGGGGTGAATCGAGTGAGCCCCAGTCTGAGGCAAAATTAGATTGTTTTCTCTCCAATTTCCCTTCCCCTTCCTTCTAATATTTTAGAAGATTATATTAATTAGAGCAAGATTTCATGCCGATAGCTTTAGTAGGTAAGTACGACATTTATATAAATGCATTTTAAAGTATAATGGATGTCAAGTCCAAGTTCTGACCCTTTTTGTTACCCTAGCTCGCAGCAAGCGAGGTGGGGACCAGGGCACTGCTCATGATATATAATAACAGCGATAATGTTGATATTATAAGAAAGAATTCATCTACGTATGGATCAGTATAGATCCAAGCGTAAATTAACTGTGTCCTGCTAAGATTGTCTAAGCATACACCATCAATGCAAAGCAAAACAATCATTGTTTTTTACAGTGGCAGTTGGCATTCTTCTGACCCTGGCAGTCAGTGAATGATGACAGTCTAGCAGTATACTGCCAACACACACCATAATATAACTGAAATCATCAGAGAGAACAAGCTATCTGCTGTTAATAAAAATAAAACCTTACCCAGAACAAAACATTGAATCCGAACATAAGATATTTGATGCAGCAGCTGACTTCGGTTCTGTCTCGACGAGATCTGTAATTGTAGCGTCTTTTGCTATGCATGGCCTCAAATTGAGAGTGACCCGAGCCCAAAGGCCTAGGCCAGTCTATCAAAGAATGTTACCTGACCATTTGTACAAAGAACCAACCACTGGGTTTAAAATATCAGGTGAAAGAAAGAAATATCAGAATGCCAAATGAGTAGTTCCTGAAAACAGAGAGCTCACTCATCTGTCATCTGGCTAAATTTAGATTATGGAACAGAGAAAGACGAAGTTCGGTAACTCACATTTCCTTGAATAATCAGGTTCGTCGAGTTACAAGCCCTTGCCCAATTCCACCGTTGAAAACATTAAACTCGGTGCCGTGACAGCGCCGTCTCTCTCTCTCTCTCTCTCTCTCTCTCTCTCTCTCTCTCTCTCTCTCTCTCAATAAAGTCTCAACCTTACCTTTCTTTTCATGTGACATGGCCTTTTTGTGAATATATCATACTTTTAAAGGTTATTAAAACACCAAAATGCTTTCATGAAATCACAAACAATTATTTCAGTGCTTAGAATGATGTTACACTAACGAAGAAATGCCTATTATTGGAGGACCTACCATACCGTATAAGGAAAATCTTACAGGGTAGATCTACATAATGTACTTGTAGCTTACAACTTCCAAGGACCCTCAATATATAGGGGCAACTATATAATAATATGTCTGGAAGCTAAACTAGCGAATTTTTTTTTCATGACGCACCGTAAGTCTACCTAGCCTATAGTTTGACGCCTCAACTCCAACTCCAACCCAACAATGGTTGCCACGGACGGGATGTAGGTATTTAGAGACGTCTGGGCCCTAATGTCAAAAGTATTTATCATCAAAAGCAAACTCAACAGACAACCAAGACACGTTAAACGTTTCTTATTAGACTTATTCCGTGAGTGTTATATTGTCATTATTATCCGGTTTAATTTAAATGTGTTCCCTTTTTGGGGGGGTAGGCGTTTTGGTCGCCTGCACAGGGGACCCGAGTTCGATTCCCAAGTGGGGATGAATTTTATCGAATTTCTCGGCCTTTCTGCTGTTGGGATGTCGCACTGTTGCCTATCCCACTCATCACAGGTTGGTCATGACAGGCAGGGTCAGACCACGTCTCCTAGATTACTTAAATTGTGTCGATAGGGGTGTAAAAACACCTTCTTTGAAAAAAGGAGCGCTGAATAGGGAAATGATTATTTCCAGCAGCAAATCTATCGGATTAGGGGCAACTGGCGCCCGTGCACGGTCTCGGCAGCGACAAACAATGGCGTCAGCCGTGCGTTAAACAGGAGGCCTGACCATTGTGGAAGTGGAAGCTGTAACCGAGACCCATAACCTCCCCTTTGTCGAGACCTCATACATTGTACGTACATCTATAGACATGTGGTCTGCACTTGTGACTGGAGGTGCCCTGTAACTACATTCATGTTCCTTGAAGTTACGAGATGGAGGGAGACAGGGGGGGGGGGAGTAGGGAAGGAGAGAGAGATGGAGACAGGATATAGATCTAGTATGGGGAGCGTGGGGCCGAGAGGGGGAAGCAGAGAGGGATGGAGAGAGAGAGAGAGAGAGAGAGAGAGAGAGAGAGAGAAAGACAGACAGACAGACAGACAGACAGACAGACAGACAGACAGACACTGAGAGGCAGTAAGAGACAGAGACTGAGAAATAGAGAGGCAAAGGAAGAAAGGGAGAGAGAGAGAGA